AGTGGATGAAAATAGTGGGTCCATTTTAACATCAAGAAAGGAATTAAGTATTAAATATTATTTATAGATTCATCTCAGTATTGGATAAAAAAATCATGTATCAGAATTATTTCTTTGCTTGTTTGCATTTGGTGGCCTTTTCGATGTACCTGTTCTCACCAAGAGAGCATAAAGACCTCTTCTGTCATTTTCTCTCTTATATACATATCCAAGCGCTCTCTCTGTGATACATCGTGTCCTTCTCCTCCCACTCATGCAGCAAACCAGTAAAGCATACTGTAAATTAATGAGCGCCAGCAAAGAAAAATAATATCAATCCTCCCACAGATAGTGACACCCACATATCATCAAAAGGAGAAGAAACTTCCCTTCCCCCGTCCTCCCCGCTGACATGTCTCAGCGAGGAAAGTGACAGGAGATGCATGTATGCAGGATTTTTACATGGCACTTAATAAGCTTCCCCCTACATGACACACACACACATATGCAGCACACATTCGCAGGGCATGCCCTAAGAGTGATGAAACGCATGCTGACACACGTGCACGTTCTGCACTCTCACATGTACTCACACGCCTTCCCTGATGATTAGAAACTGGGTCAAGGACAACTTTCTGTGAGGGCAAGGAGAAAAAGAAAATCTGTAATGACAGACGGGCTCAGGCTACAGCACAGAAAAGTGCCCGCAGTAAGAAGAGTATGTATGATTTATAATCCTAGGCACAGTCAGAGATGTGTAAATGAATTGTCACAAACTTGACCACTGTGAGGACAGAACACAGATAAGTTCTTCCACTGTGCATTTACAGAATCTGGTCAAAATGTGCCTGATGGGAACAACTGCTGTTTGCAGCTGTGTATGTGCTTCACTAAACAGAAGACTCTGTAGGTGAGCCTGGGGTGAGCTTGTTCTCTCGGCCTCAGTTAATGTTATTTTCATGACTTAAGCACAAGGTGTCCTTAGGCAGGTTACAGCATTAGTGAGGGATCACTTCCAACTTGTCACTTTTCAATTATGCTACACCAAACCACTCTTTTTCCAAACCTAACAAGATAGTTTTTAGTGTCAAAACATAAAAAAGTCACCAAAGCCACAGGACACCTTGCACATAGCAGGAAGATACAGGCAGTACCTGCCCAGCATGAGGAGATAATAGTGAGCCTGAAGAACAAATATAACACTGCATTCTGCAGTGGAAAGTCAGAGACTGACATTATTTTCAGCTTCTACGGTGCCTCCAGGTTTGATTTGCTGCTTTTCAAAACCAGCAAATATTCACCAACAGACCTGTAGTCCATGAGTTGCAATAATAGCTTAATTATACACCTAATTCCAAAAATTCATCCACCCATTCTCTTCCACTTATCCAATTCAGGGTCACGGGGGTTGGGGTGGGTGGTGCTGGAGCCTATCACATGTAGAGAGACAACCATTTGCACTCAAATTCACACCTATGGGCAATTTAGAATCATCAATTAACCTAACCCCACTAACTGCATGTCTCTGAAATGTGGGAGGAAGCCGGAGTACCCAGAGAGAACCCATACAAACACAGGGAGAACATGCAAACTCCATACAGAAAAAGCCCAGACAGATGTTGGAAGCAAACTCAGGACCTTCTTGCTATGATTCAACAGTGCTAACCACTGCTGCCCTAATTCCAAAAATGCCATTTTCTAATCATCAGGGGAGATGTGTTAATAGCAGCACGATGCAATGATTTAAAAATCTAATTTTATTCACAATAAAATATCAAAAGTTTAAACTGAAGTATTTTACTAGTTCTCAAAAAAGTTGGGCCAGGGACGACAAAAGAGGGACAGAGAGGCAGAAATTCTCAAAAGTTGTCATTATCCTGGGTCTTTGACCCAGTGTTTGAGTGTTCCTTTGGATTTGTCATTTACTTCTTTGAAAGCATAAGTTAATTATGTTCTAGTGTCTGAACATATTATTTTCAGGTGCCGCTGAGTTTGTATTTATAGTTCTGGATTTCTGGTTCATGTCTGTCCTAGTCTCATCTCTGCGTTTTGTTATTTCTTCAGTATGGTCACGTCTCCATATCTGTTTCTGTCCCAGTGTCAAGCCCATGTGTCTTAGTTTGTTTCTCAGTGTGTGTTACTTCCTGCTTTACTTTGAGAATCTCCTGTCTCGTGTGTATTCTGTTCAGTTTTGCTTCCCTTGTCTCATTTGTCTGGATTAGTGTCAGCTGTGTTCCCACCTGTGGCCTCTTCCCTCATTATCCTGCTTGTGTATATATTGTCTGCATTTCCTTCTGTCCTCCCTTGCAATATGGTATCCTTGTGTCAATGGTTTGTGTCTCCTAGTATTGTTTTTTGTATTATTTTGTACTTCAGTTTAATAAAACCACCTATTATTTTATTCCCTACGTTCCGAGCACTGTGTTTGGGTCTTACCTGCACCAGGCATACCATCCCAAATTTTTGGGAACTGGGTTTGTATATAGTTTAGATAAATAGTTTTACAACCCAGCTCTTAACATAAAATGGAGACCAAAACTAGAAATTTAAAAAGCACGAGTCTCTAATTTAAATGAATAAATTGATTAAAATAAAATGTACAGATTGGAGCAGCAAGGAGATTATGATGGTGAGAGGTGGTGGTCCTCTCCAAACCAACCCAGGCACGCCTTCATCCACATCTTATTAACAGCTTTTAGCCAAACATAAAAATCGTTCATCCAAGCAACTTTAATTCCACAGCAATACAGCAGCTAAGTCTGAAGTAGGAAAGGACAAACACATACAGCTGCAGAGACTCCTTTATTTAGAGATGGTGGCTAAATTAATTTTGCATGCATTCCCATCTGATGAGCACTCAACAGAGCAAGCCCTTTTCATTTGTTTGATAAATAACCAAAAGATATTCGTAGTCTGGTTAATGCTTCACCTCCCAGTAGTTGCAGTAAATAGCTCCACAACGGTTTCTTTATTCATTGTTCTTCAGTGTACTTTTCTCAACCAATCAGTGCACTTTGAAGCAAAGCTCAGACCTTAGACCTCTCTCTCCAGCAAACAAAGTAATCATCCACTCAGTTCGGATCAAGAAAATGCACCACAGAACCGGGAACAAATACACAACCAGCTTCTGCTGTGTTACAGTCGCTCTCAGAGTTATTGTGATTCAGAACATCAAGCAGCACATCCTCCCATCTCCAAAATATCATCTCACCCTGCAATACTCTCAATAGCACTTATGACACCAGAGAGCTCGGCTAGCAACACAGCCGGCCCTGTTAACTCCACCCGCCCGCTAATAATACTCATCCTCGGAGGACCGAAGAGGAGAAAAGTGGATTGGGGTGGAGTGGAGGTAAGAGCACCAGCCCTTACTGTTTGTCTGTGCTGGAGTTCCCTTCTCACTGCAGCTGGTTTCTGCTGCAGTAAGTGAGGAGAGAGGGAGGGTAAAGGTGAGCTGGTGGGAAGTAAGAGGTGGAGGTGTAAGGAAGACGTGCTGATGGTGTGTGTAAATACCCACTGTGTGCCAAAACACACCTATTCAGCAGTATTTTCTGCACAGACAGTAATCAGGTCTAACGTGCTCAGGTCCTCTTTTATGGAGGCTTCTTGTCTATTGTTTCATTAGAAGTGTTTGCTGAGCTGTGTGATCTAGGACAGGGCATGAGAGAGGCGATTAATAACTCTGAGCATGAAGGAGCTGTCTTTGGGGCCAACTGCAAAAACTGTGCCACTTCCGTAACAGGGAGGGGAGGAAGCAGTCGGAGCAGTAGCAAATAAGGACAGCGATCTGTTAGCTGGGTTGTGCACATGTGTTTGCGGATCCATCTGGAAATACACTGTATTAATGGAGTTTGTCCCTGTTCATACTTTTTTGTGTTTCTTTTTGTGTATCTGGTCTCTTTTTGGATGATAATCATGCTGCAAAGTGTTATTTTATGCCAGTTTAAAGATAATATCAATATTGTAACTGCGAAAATAAAAATAGTATGTGGCTTTTTCCACCTAAAAGCAAGTGTAAATTGTTCTTTTAGGCATTAAGTCTTGGTCAGTCCTACAAATTGAGAACCATCTCAAAATGTGTGATGGCCTCCGTCTTAGGTAATCTGTGGAGAGATGTGAATGACAACTCTGTCTCCCCAGATGTCCATGAACTACTCATGCCAACACCATAGTAATCTGATTTGGCACACCTGGTCTAGGATAAAAGTCCTTCAGCTGAAATCTCAGCTTCATCTATGTGATTGTACACTCTGGTCTAGATTATGTTACTCCACAGTTGGCAGCCTCACCATACCACTGATGAACATACTTCACATTTCATTTGCTTTCTTGTTTATTTTCTTTTTTACTGGTTACAGTAAATGCTCATATTAGCCACCAACTCTCATGCCTTTCCATTTCTGGTTTGGCCTTAGAGCTGGGTCATGACAGACCGAAGCCAACTGCTGTACAATGGGATTAATAGGAGGTGGAATAGCTTCCCTAAATCAAGACTGCCATAATGCTTTCGGAGATGAGAACAGGATGTCTTCCGCTGCTGTTTATTCAGGGAGCTATGCTGGGGGGCAAAACTTGAGCTCCATATTTTTTGGCCAGTATTTGTTTATATTTTGGCCAACCATTTATGGCCAACCATTTAAGGATGCTAAATCATCTTTTAGTTTGTAATCCTTGTCTGCAATGTACCCCTTGTTGTACAACAACCTTAATTGGATTATTTTGATAAAAACATAAAAATCACGCCATGTTCTGGAGCTTTTTTCATGATCTTTGAGGAAATTTGCGGGCCAGCATATACAAATGTAAATAACGAAAACATTTGTATCACATTTGTATGTATGATCAGATTAGGATAAAAAGGATCATCCATTTCCTGATAATCTGATTAAATCTTTAACTAATATTAAAAAAAATTGTTTTGGAAGATTAAAATTATCTCCTTTTTACCACTAACCCCCCTGTACAGAGCTTTAATCACAGTTTAAGACTTTTAATTTAAAAAAAATCTGCTTGATCCTCACCTTTTGAGAAGACGGTAGTTCTCGCAGTGACATCCAGGTCCAAGGATGGGCTGAATGGAAAGGCCCACAGCTGTGATAGTCGGTTGAAAAACATCAGGGGCAGCAGGAGGAGTAGGAAGGGCTTGACTGATCCCATGATTAACCTACAGACCTGGGTCCAAGCAGAGACTTGCTTGTGCTCACTGTTTATTGTATGCAAAAAATAAATAAATAAATAATGAAATAAATGTGCAAAGCGTGTATCTTCAGGCCCAGCAGCAACCAGGCGCAGACTCTTTGATTATCCTCCAGCTGAGAACACACTGAGTCTGTGCAGAGAAAGAGAAAAACAATGTGTATTACTAAAAGAGATGTGATCCTGAATACCAAACTAGATGCGGCTGTCAAAAGGTGGTGATGGATTTCACTCATTTATGAACAAAACAAACGTTTGCAGGACAAAGACTCCACCACCCAAGTGGATATGTTGCGCTGGACTAATTGAAAGATTAAAAGGATGTCAAAGTGCCAGAAATGTACTTGTTATGCGGCAAATCAACCCAGCTATTGACTGGCCCTTCTTTAGTGGGCAATAAAATAGTATTAAAATAAATCTCATTCCTGCGATGTCTGAAAAGTACATTTAAATCAGTGTGGTGCATTTACGAGTGTAGTATGGAAAGTAGAAAAATTATAATCACAAAATTTTTTGCAGGATTTTACAACACAAAGATTATTTGGGTGGACAATCTAGGTACAGTAAGAGCTGCCCAACTATATTTGCCACTAATTTCGGGTATTTAAATGTATCTGTACAAGATAAATCACTTCAATCCCACATAATTCAGCTGGTTCTCCAGAAACGATATTGTCCCGTGATCAGTCGGACTTCTAATCCTCCATTTTTACTGTTCTCAAGATCTGCTGTGGAGAATGGGATTCGTGTGCTGCTATGCTGTGCTCACTGAGGCTGTAGGGTAGAACAAGGACTATGATCACCATCATTACTCCAAGATTGTAGAGCTGCGGTGTGTCCAACTCCACAGAGAGACACTCTGCTTGGAATCCAATCCACTAGCTGACTATTGCTACATTTTTTGCACACACTACCTACGACAAATAAAATCGAATTCTGTAGCAAATACAGGTGTGTTTGTGTGTGTGAGAGAGAGAGTAAATATATTTAATTACTTTATAGTTAAGGTGTAGATAGATGGTAATAGGAAACTACTAGGAGGTCATGAAACATGATGCTGAACCTGATGCCTACCAGGAACCACATGAATGATGTGTGATATTTCAAAACGTCATCAATGAACTTTAATGAAGAGGCGGCGTGCATAAACTTTCTCACTTGACAGCATGAGCACGAAATTACTTGCTGACATGCATCACTGCTCTCTGATTACAACCAATTAGTCAAAGAGAAGGACTAAGGTGCTGTTACGTAGCAGACCATTTAAAGAAAAGTTTGGAGAGTTAAATAATGCGCCTGCGTGATGTGATCTTGCAACACACATCTCTTAATTAGCTGGGTGCAGCATGATGGATAATCTAGAGATTAGGCCTTGTGCCATCAGCACAATCTTCGCCTGGCTGCCCGTTCCCTGGCTCTGTCACCGATCAAAGGGTCTACGCTGTGAATCACACTCTGCTGCGCAGTGACACTGGAGAATTCCCAGCTTTAATCTCCACGGCTGCCGCTGCTGCAAATCACTCCCAGCATGAAGCACAATGAGGTTGATGACCTTTCAGTTATAAGTTAGGGTGCTAATCCCTGGAACCAAACTGTAAAATGATAAAGCAGGAGATGAGATGGTGAAAAATTATGATGCATTTGTTTATCCAGATATGTGTACTCAGTATTGATGGTTTGGATTTAAGAAATAAAACTTAATGTCAAACAAACATCCCAAACACACCTACAAGATGTTAGGCTCAAGTGAGGAGCTCTACGTATTTTCAAAGCTGTAGGCCTATGTTTTTTTATCAAGATTATGTTTTTAAGTAGGAGATAAATCATTAAACTGTAGTTTCATACCATATCTAATGATAGCAACTGAGCAAACCGATGTTGACTGGCCTCCAGGAAAACTTGGTACGTAAATCTTAAATTAAAATTACTTTGTTTTCAAGGTTAAGAGCACACATGCTCAAATGGTGAGACCAGGAATATGTTCATCTGCATGAAATAGACTTCAGGTATGAAAATGAATGCTTTTAACACCTTTGTAATACCTCAGTTTAAAAAAGTGAAGACTGAACAATGCTGAAATGACTTTAAAAAAGCATTAAAACCATGTTGTAGTAATTGTTGCATCAAATTGCCACACATGATGCAGTAAACTCTTAGTCAAACAAAAACAAAAAAATTTAAAGGCATAATTTTCATCTGTCACTATTTACTGTCCAGTGCTGATACCGCTAAAGTTTCGGTATCAGCACTTAAAACAGCCAATAATTTAAAATGTAAAAACTAAAGAAGGGATGCAAAGAAACACCCTTCAACCATGTTGTAAGTGTTGATGTTGCATAGTTTTTCAACCAGAGGGTTCTTTGCAACTTTCTGCTTGGCAACATGTGTTTGGAACTCCACAAGCACATGAACCTGCTGATCAGGTCAGCTGATCTGAGCAGAGTGGAGCCAACGCTTTGCTGACATCACAACTGCAGCCTTCCAAAACCTCCTCTGGCATTAATGCAGCACAAAAACTGAATGCCAGAAGCTTCATGGCATGAGCAGCTCCTGTAGGTGTAATGCATAAGTGGCCTACTTTAATCTTCAAAGTCTATTTGCTTCTGATACTAGTCTTTGTATTTATCTATGGTTTCTGTCAACAGATACAGGCTAAACTGTTGCTGTGCTTCATGCATTCTGTAGAAGGCAGTCTAAATCAGAAGATGGCTTTATATGATGACAGTCGTAAGAGATTTTAGCACTGCGCTCTTAGAATTTGTCAAATTCACATCCTTGTTTGAAAAAAAAGAAGTAGAACCAAAACAAAAAGCTTTTTTCCCAGTCCACACTACTTCTTTTAAAATTGTCATTACCCAAAATGAATAACACTCCATTGAGAGATTATAGTCAAAGTTTTTGCATTTTTAAACTTTTACACTCAGCTAATGCTGACATCATTTGTGACATTTGTTTTTATCAGTCTTCACAGCTCCCACTAGAAAACTTTTTCACGCACACCTTCGTGCTCACAAAAGCCTGTAAGCACACTTTGATGTACAAAATCGGCGTGGTTCCCCTTCGATATTGCAAGCGAGGGGAGAGCAACAGCGCAACATGTGTCTTGTTTGATAGCTGCTCCAAATGCTAAGAGCCTCCAGAATCATGCTCTGACAAAACTGCAGATGAAGGCATAGTGAGAAGCTCTTTGTCCTGTTTTTGTCAACTGCTGTCCTCGTGTAACACACAGCAAACGCACCATTGTCTCAACACATCTGCATTGGCGTGTTTGTGTGTCCTGCCCACAATGGTGTTGACACCAATGTGTTCCCACTTATGAAAGCCTGATAACTCCAAGAGGGAAAGGTAAACACATCTGCCTTGGCAGTGACACGAGCAATGTGACATGAAGACAAGAGGAACTGCACAAAAGAGCAGGCGGCGACAAAAACACCTTGTACTCAGTTTATTGATCCAAAGAGCGGGACAGGTCTGATGGGAAATTTTAACCCAGTTTCTATAACCACAGGTCTCTTGCAGCTGGTGCCCATCAAAAAGATTAAGTCGTCACTCCAGAGTATGAAATATATAAAGAATGATGCAGCTGTTTTCCATTGAGACTAATATGCAAAACACCTAGCCTGACATTTCTGCAGAAAGATCAATAAAACAGGTGAGCTATTTTTGGTTTTCCTTTCAACTGATGCCACTTGAAATGCCAAACACACTCTCATTCCTTTGATAGCTGCAGTGATTTTAATGGGCTTATATATTATGTGCTATATGCTATACTTAAATATTATATTTATACTTTTTTTTTTTTAATCTCAAAGCATTGAGTGTCTGGCATACAGAGGAGCCATAAATGAGATTACTGAAGTTCACCCTGTGGTGTTCACTGTGATGTGGATACAAATATAAATAATTTGCCTCTGTTTACACTGCAAATATATAGAAGTAAGAACTTTTTATGTTCAGGTCATGCAATCACACTCACAAATAAGAATATGAAATTACTTCTTGAAGCTCTAAATAGAAAGTGATTTTAAACATCTAAAAATTACTTTTTTCTGGCTTGTACTACTTGATCTACCACTACATGGAGTTTGATAACAGATATTTCACAAGATGAAGCATTAGTTCAGAGTTTTCAAGATTTTAATGAAATAACACCAGTTTTAATGTGAACGGCAGATCAATTATCAGGGGGAAAAATCACATTTTGTCATACAGGGAAATTATCTTTCAACTAATAAAACTGTTTGATTTATTCTAACTTATTTCCAACCACTATCACAGAAAAAACACCTTGTTATGAAGCTTACAGCTTATGTACAGTATTTTCTGTTTATTTATATCAAGTTTAAGGTGTAAATTGAACTGCTTGGAAAATTTCAGTCTACTAAATATGAAAAGATTCCTTTAATATCCATTATAAAGACTTATCTTCTCTCTATACTTGTCATCTGTACCCACTGGAAATACTGGGAGAACAGGATGCCTCTGAAAATGATAGCTCTTACTACTATATGAATCACTTTACCCATTCTGAATTTTCCAACTCTGGAAAATCTGTCTTATCTTAGCTTATCTTATCTTGCATCACAGCAGGAAAGAAAGTCGACCTGAGTAATCTACAGCTGATCTACTGGGATTTTCCCACACAACCATAACAAGGATTTACAGAGAATGGTCCAAAAATAGAAATAAAAGAAAGAAAGAGTGAGGGGCCATTCTCTGGGTGAAACTGGCCTTGTTGATACCAGAACTAAGATACCAGAGTTAAGAGGAGAATGGCCAGACTGTTTCAAGTTGATAGGATGACAACGGTAACTCAAAAATAACCACTTGTTACAATAAAATTACACAGAAGAACATCTCTGAATGCATAACCTGCTGAATCTTGACACAAACGGGACAGCAGAACACCAGATGCCATTCCTGTCAGCTAAGAACAGGAAACTGAGGCTACAAATTAAATGGATTCAACAAAATTAGACAATAGAAGACTGGAAAAATGTTGCCTGGTCAAATGAGTCTCAATATCTTCGGCATTAAATTGATGGTGGGGTCAGAGTTTGACGTACACACCATGAAAAGACTGATCAATCCTGCCTTGTATAAGCAGTTCAGGCTGTTGGTGGTGTAATTCTAGGTGCCTATGCGATATTTCGTTTACAAAATTTGGGCCCTTAATAGCAGCAAACACCACAGCCTACCTGAGTATTGTTGCTGACCATGTCCATCCCATTATGACAACAATGCACCCATCTTCTAATGGATCCTCACAGCAGGATAAAGTGCTATGTCACAAAGTTCAAGCTGGTTTCTTGAGCAAGACAATGAGTCTAATTTACTGAAATGGCCTCCAAAGTCACCAGATCTCACCTTTGGAGTGTAGTGAAATGAAGGACTCGCTTCACGGATGCGCAGCCAAGAAATCTGCAGCAACTCTGTGATGCCGTCATATTAATATGGACCAAAGTCTCTGAGGAGTGTTGCCAGCTCAGTGTGGAATGTGTGCCACAAAGAATTAAGGGGGTCCAACCCATTACTACCAAGGTGTGACTAATAAAGTGTCAGCTGAGTCCATATTGATACATTTATTGTGAAATTGTTGTACTGCATGTAAGAAACATGACCAACTCATAAAGTATGCAGATTGATACAGACTGAACTACAAGAACTACAAAAAATTAAATGCTATCAGTTAACTGTATCTTCTTTTTTGTCTGTTTTTGTCTAATTTTATTCAGAAGTTTTCTCAAAATACATACAGGGTTGGAGGATGGGTCAGTAGCCCATCCCCCAACAAAAAAATCCATTTAGTAACTGTACAAAAGCATACAACAAAGATAGAATTATACAAATATTACTTAACATACTTGCATTATTGACATAACAATTTCATGGTTTGCATATGAGGGTTGTGTCAATACTAGTACTGTGCTACACCTCTAGTACTCTAGCCTACTTACTGTATAACAAAGCCATATTATATGTTAGCACTCTGAAACAGTCCCTTGTGTCTAAGAAGTTTTATTACTCAGATTTGGCTACTAATATTTAGAGCGTGTACTTTTACCCACATATGTAGGATTTCAATTTGTAATAGAATATGGAGTATTTTAGATATTGAGTATTTTTAATCACTCAAGAAATCTGGCTGCTTCTTACGCCAAAGCAATCTGCCATCTGTGAGATTATTTATGACTTAATAACGTATCTATAAAGCATGAATAAATGACAAAGATTACAAAGTAATCATTAATAAAAGCCACTAGTTACAGCTTTTACAGCGAGACTCGGCGACAAGTGCCAAAAAGCTTATTTAAGGAATGTATTCAATGAATCTCTCAAGTTTAATGTGCTTTAGAAACCACTGCTCAGCTTTATGTCTACCCATTTAAATTGATGCTTCCTCCAACAGTAAAACACCGCAACGAGGCTTTACAAGATATTAAATCACAGCAGATGTTCTAATTTCAACTTGAAACAATAAGTGACTGTCCTCAATGTCCTCAGAAGCACGCGGTGACACTAAAACGCACCTAATATGCATTTATGCCATAGTTAACGTCCACAAATGTGGCTGTAATAACTTAATGAGTGTTAATGTAAACAGTCAATGAACGTGAGGACATCTACCCATGTGCACCTGTCCGACCTGGACTGCAGCACTGAGAGCCGAAAACAGCACCGCACGCGGTTTGGTCACCTTCACCTGAGCAGCCTCTTTACATCAGCAAATAGAGAGCAAGGAAAAGTGGAAGAAACACGGAGAAGCGGTCCGGAATGAAACATAACAGCAGTGAGGACTCACCTGCTTGTTTTCCTGTAGCTCTGCTCCTAAATCCTTTGAACCGACCTCTCCGCGGTGAAACACAGAGCTTCTCTGCTGCTGCTGCTGCTGCTGCTGCAGTTACCCAATGCTCAAACACAACCGACTCTCCCTCCACCCCCCGACACACAAACACACACACACACACACACACACACACACACTGAGATCACAGGCTTTCCACAATTTCACCACCTCACATGTTCTTTTTGTTGTTTTGTTTGAGTTTCTATTACTTTTATTTTAAGAGTAAAGAAATTGTTTAGGAAGGATGTTTTTTTCACCCATATCCAGATGATATAATAACCAGGTGTACGCTTTTTTGTGATTTTTACTCAATAGATTCGCCTTTTTGGATTCTTGAAAACGAAGGGTTTAAGCTCAATGTTTGGCGTTTCTATTGAAAACAAACGTATAATAATGTTCTTTCTCAATAGAAGAATGGAAATGTGTCAGTTTAAGAATATTACTTAACTGTTTCGTAAATTCTCCTGGAAATGTTTCCAAACATTAGTAAGCCTTCCAGTGTGACACCCCACGCAGGCTGTAAATGTAAAGTCGAGTGGAGCCCATGTGATGTGTGAGCGACTCCTGCTGGACAAAAGCTAGAACGACAAAACTTTGGGCTTTGGTACAGTATTTCTTTACCTTGTTTAGGTTAGACGGGATAACTATAGCTGGTTCATCAAATCTAAGATAACCAGGCAACATTGCATTTCAATAGATATGTGATTTGATTATGGACTGCTTCTTATATAGTTCTTTTCTACTCTGCACGAGTACTCAAAGCACTTTATACAGCGTGTCTCATACACCACGGATGTTCTGTATGCAGACTGAAGCAGCCAGGAACCCCGGAACTTCACTTGCAATCTTTATAAATGACTGCATCTACTCTATTAAAGAATAAAGTGGTCTATAGCAAAAATGCAGTGATCCTGTTATCCAACCACATTCTTTAACATTATCATTGACATGATCCTTGACATACTTGCTGTGTAATTCCAAACGTCTGCTACCCAATTTGGAGATAAAATTATATTTTTTATTGATTTTATATGGTGCACAGTGGTTGAATCTGATGATCCAAGTATTCAAATGGAGAGGCTGGAGCCTATCCCAGCTGTCAGGGTGAGAGTCAGCGTCCAGCCTGGACAGGTTGCCAGTCTGTGGAAGGCTAACACATAAATACAGACAGCCATTCACACCCACTGTCAGTTTACAATCACCAGTTATAACCCCAACAATGTATTTGGACTGTGGGAGGAATCCATAGTACCAAAGAACCCTTCGTCTTAAGGGTTTATTCTTGTGTCTCCCAGGTTCATTCAGTGTCATCCTCATTGTGATGGCTGCATGCCAACACACAACTGAAATACTCAGGTAATATTTATGTTTACCCTTCTTTTTGCATTGTACTGTAAAGCTTCAGTGTCCATAAATTAACTGAAAGGTTTAAATTGGGTAGTTTGTAATACATGACAGTATCAGGTCATAGTGCAAGCAATAGCATAGAATCTGTTTTGTATTGTTTGTTATTGTACTATATGTTGTACTTATATGTTGTATTAATTATTTTCTCTTCTTTTTGAGTTACCTAGCTGCTGCTCCTTTACTCAAACCTTCCTGGTTTGAGTAAAGGAGAAGGCTAAGGGTGGAGCTGGTTTAAATGCAGAGGTCAATAAAATAGATTTCACCAGCTGTTGTGACCACACAAGGGGGGGAATGGGCTTTCTTCTTGTATTATGTTTAGCTATTGTCTCTGTGGTTTCCACCTTTGGTGTATACCATGGTTCATTCACTTAATATATAACAGGAGTAGTCTCTCATTTGGGGAGGTCAGTTTGCTGAGTTATGGTGTTTTGTTAAGTGTTTTTAGTAGAATTTTGCTTTAGTTGGCCTCTTTTATGGGCCCACTTACTTCTTAAAATAGTTTGTTTCTGTCATTTAGAATTTTTGTAATAATTTTGCCTTTTTGGGGGCATAATAAAACCCATTTTGTGAAGGTTATACCTGTGCCTGTATGTTCTTGGTTGCCTGGTCCCTGATACCCATGTTTGTCCATGTCCTTGTCTCAGTATCGATGATTTCCTGTTTCATTTTGGTAATCTTTTGTCCTTCTTTGCTTCTGTGCCTGTTTGTATTCCCCTTTGTCTCATCTTCCCTGATTTGTTCTCTTCTGTGTTCCCTGGTGTCTCCGTCTCATGTGTGCTTGTTGTTTGTCTCCTTCTGTCCCCTGTCTAGTCCTTTTGCTCTCCTCTTAAGTTACCTTGGCCCCTTGTTCACTTCTGGCTTCGCTTTCTTCCCCTTGTGTTTTCCCCCAGTCAGTCATGTCTGTCGGTTGGTCTGTTCCTATGTCATGTTTCAACCCCCTCACCCATGAGGGGTGATGAATCACAAAGCATATTTTTCCTGAGCAATCTGAAATCTACGTGCAACACATACTGTAGAAGTGGTAGGCCTGCTGGCAAGTGGCACTGAAAGGAGGGAAAGGAGGATCTCTCTGAGGGAAACAGACAGATAGGAAGGCGACAACAACAGGTGTGCTGGACATTTAAGATGTAATCCTTATTTAAACATAATAATAACAATAATTAAAAAAAAATCATGCCATCAAAACAGCTGCCATCAAAACAACTGCTTTTGGGCCAGGTTTATGTAACTCGTTGCAAGTTATACTGGAATCCAAAGTTGGCTTCAATGCTTGCTCCATGTCCCTGAACATGTTTCAGAAGTGCATCTGGTCGTTGTGCCGCTGGGTGGCGCTGCAGCTCTTATCAGTGTGCCTCCAGTGCTGGGAAACCCTTTCACAAACCCGGCGCAGTCGTCACCGGTGTGAGTACGGACTGTTGTCATGACGTGCTTTCTGTCTGGGACTGAGACACAGCTGCTGAGCCAACACGTTAATTTCCCACGAAGCCAAACACGCTTTATTCTTTTCGGTTAACACAGTTTTTAACGGTACGTAACCCGGTCGGTACTCTGTCGTGAATACACTTGAAGCCAGTTCTTAATATGTTAATTCCCTGCTTGGCAGCTCGATAAGGTTATTATTAACCAGCTAGCTAATGCTAGCGCTATCGATTAGCTGGACGTTTAACGCCCAGATAAGAGCTTATTCCAGTATTGCTCTTAATCGATCAGCTGCTACACATGTGCGTTACTACTTGTAATATGAGCGAGTTCAATCGAGAGCCGAGCTTGTGAATGAGCTAATAAGCTACTGATAGTAAGTTAAATGTCTTTTTTAGAGCAGAAACGCCGCCTTTTCTGTGTCTGTCGTATATTTAGCAGAAGAAGTTTAGTCACTACTAGTCAGTGTCAGGCTTATTTCCTCTTCATTTTGTAGTTTCTTTACTAGCTCGGGAGGCTATAAAACTGTTTGAATACGTGTTTGTCACATGAGGAAGACATTGTGTGCAGTTTGACCTAACCATTATAACACCGTTGTAAAGTCTGTTTATAATGATTGTCTGCCGTGTGAGGTGAGGTAAAAAACATCTGTGATGTCCTGTAAACACAACAGGTGGGCTCCCCTGCAAGTGGGGAGAAAACATTTGGTAAATATGCCGTGCCTGAGAGGACATGAATGGGATATTTGTAGATGTTGTCAGGCACTATCATCTGCTGCAAAGTACACCACTTTTGTTTTGGTAAGATGCACAAGTGTTAAAGATGTGATATGGCACAGCCAGCTGAAAGATATCCCACTTTTACCTGCTTGGATCTGATAGGGAGCTCTTTGTTACACTCCACTGAGGTTGCCCCACTTATCTTGGTTGTACCTAGACAGTACACTGATGGAAAATATCATATCGCCTTGTTTTTTGTTGTTTTTTGTTTTTTAAACTATTACTTTTTTCTCCCCCACTGAAGACGTGACAGGATGTAATCAATGCAAGTTTGAGCTTGTGGCAGTCAGGCATGAAGTGAGAGGTGCTTACTGGTATTTTTAAGCAAATTCTTCTCCCTGGGGTGCTGCTTATGAGAATGCACTCGGGACATGAGAATAGAACAGCCAACAAAGGAGACAGTAATTCACAAGGGGGTGTAACATGGAAACTCTGGACCTCATTCACAAGGTGTGCGTGAAGGTACTGAATGTGTTTGTAGTCTACAAACACATTGAGAACTTCCTCAGACTGTTTTTATGAACAAATAAAGGAGGCTGTCTTAGAATATTTTAGCGCATCTTTAAACTGCAGTGCTGTAGCAGTCCCTCATTTCTTCATATATTTCCATAACAATGGGAAATGTTGATCCCAGTCCGTGACTGATGGTGTCCCATTGTTTTCTTTTTTTATCCAGGTATGTTTTTACTACACTGGTAGTGTATTTAGGATCATTGTAATTTGGAAAAATGAAGCTGTTGTCAAAAAAGTGCATTCCAGATTATATTGCACGGTAGATCAATATATGTACTTTCCTGTGTGCATAAATCCTTTAATTTTAACAAGATCTCCAAAACCTCAAGCTGAAATTCATCCCCAAGGCATAACCTCCACAGCATTTCACACGTTTTGCTCCTGTCCCTACCTGTGGCATCCTTCTTACATATTGGTGTAAGAAGGCTCTCCCCTTTCACTCTGTCCATGAACCTTCAACATATGGTCTATTTGAACTGTACAGGCTTCTTTCTTAGGAAAACACCACTGAGTTTTCCTCTATACCTCATGTTAATTTATAGAGAAATATGGGTGTGACTGTATGAAGATTGTATACAGCGATTTGGATGCACTGATACCTGCAAGGTGGCCAAAAAGAACATTTCCCAAGACCTACAGTAAATTTGCATGTACATGCAAAGTCTGTATTAAGGTCTATATATATCTGCATTGATGAGAGAAGCTCATTATGCTTCCTTTTCAAGCTAATCTTTCTTTTTTTCTGTTTTTTGTAATTATAATAGCATAAACAGTGCAGCACTTCAGTTTTGAATATGACACCCAAGGGCAACACAGCAGTGAAAATACTCATCCTGAAATGTTTACTTTGTTCTTTTGGTCAGCTTTTTATGAGGTAAGTGAGATGGAGTTTTCAAAGGAGTGGTCATATTTGGCTGGGAGAAGTAGTATTACTCTCAGTTGGCTGGGCGTGTGCTCACAGAGGAAAGGAACAGTGTACCACAACCTAACTAACTTTAATGAGTACCTAGTGCACCATTGCTTTGAAAACAGCACTTTTTTCTGGTCTGCTCAGACTCTGTGGGGAGACTGACGGGAATGTTAATATTATTTTGGTGTGCTCAGCTGGGATTTAACTGTTAAAAAGGTGCAGTGCAATTTCTGGTAATGCTCATAAATGTGACGTTATGAGCTAATACAGTTTATCTGTTGTATGTTTTTATCAAATCTAAATGCATTTACTTGTGCTGTGTGGTTTGTTTGTTTTATTTTTTGCAGGTTATGATGAGGTGGTAACCCTGGGGCGGCCAGGCTGTGAAATGACTGCTGTTCGGCACAAAAGAAAGACAGAGCAGAGAGACTGAGAAAGAAGAATGGGCACAAGGGTCTGGGGTTGCTGGCAAGGTGTCCTCTCTACTGCGCTGCTCTATGGCTCTTTGGCTCTGTTTACATCCATCCTGCACAATGTGTTCCTGCTCTACTACGTGGAGACGTTTGTCTCCATCTACAAGATCGATAAAATCTCCTTCTGGGTGGGAGAGGTGAGTCTAAAGAATGCCCGAAACTGTGATTCTGAGATTAAACACGTGATTTAAATTTGGACGTTTAATTCAGATTAGAAATCCAACTCTAATTTACCAGTCCAGTGTCGCTGAGAGTGTGCTCATCGTTTTGCTTTTGTTATTTAATTACCTTTTTTTGTACCAGAAAAACATAAATCTTCATTATGAAATATAACTTATTTATCGTAAAGTCTGTCAGCTCTTCATGAGACTAAAATTGGACAGTGAAAAATGGATCTTTCTTTTACTGATAGTAGCTTCTGGGTCTAAAAGGGAAAATAACATGGCCTTAAACCTTAAATAAACCTGTATTTATTATTAATGCTACCAGGGGCGATAACCTGTGGTTGCAAAATAACTTTCAGTCCTATAGAAGTTTATGGGAAAAGCACCATTGCCCCGTAACTCTATAAACACTTTCATGATGAGTTTATGGGCTCAGTCACTCATTTCAGGTCAGACTGAATACAAAATTAAATCCAAAATTGTATGTTTTGGTCATTTTTGTTGTCAGAAAAGAGGATTATCCAGAGTAAGTTGAAGACTTGGCTAACAACATGTGATTGAAAAGTCGTTAACCAGTGAACATCCAGCAGTATCACAGCCAGATCCACCTCTTAGATAGTGAAAAGCTTCAGGTTTCATAACAGGACTCCACAAACCAATGGATGACATCATGGTGGCTACATCTGTCTTTTTTACTGTCATTGGACACAACAAATTGTCTTGTGCTGCTGTAACACCGAATAAAACCAATAAGACAAAAGCATAAATAAAAGCAAATAGTTAAATTAAATGAAACAAAATACATTATGGCAAAACAATAAGGTTGAAACTACACAGAAGAACAGATTCTATATTGGAACCAATTTAAGATTAATGGTAATCCTGTATGCACCATCATCCACTGATTTTTATTTAACATTATTTTTCTGCTGCTCCAAAGACTGTCTTCCTTATCTGGAACAGTCTGAATGACCCTCTCTTCGGCTGGCTGAGTGACCGCGCCTTTCTCAGCTCTCCACAGTGAGTATCTGCATCTTTACTTTCTTCTACTTTTTGTGGAACAAACACAGTTGTAAATAGTTGTTTATGAATGTGCAAAAGACTGCAGAAAAACAAGTTAACTGTTTGCACAGGCTTTAGAAATGTTGACGTGACCACACACAATAGATATTCCCAAAAAAAGGTCATTTACGTAGTTGGAGTCATTTGGAAGAGACACTAATGTTGTGCAATAGAATTTAGTTCTTTCTGGGATATTTTTGTCGGTTGCACATCTTCTTTCGAAAAGAAGTTTTTTTCTCTGAAGAGACACCTCATAGTTCTTGTTATGTGTCAGCACAGTTCATCTACTTGCCTCGAACTTGGAGAGATACTCCTGATTCAACAACATAAAGTCATCTTTGTAGAATGATCTTAAAATTCCAGATATAATCTTCATTCGGACTCTGATCGCTTCTCATTTCTCACCCATACTAGCCAAGTATCTCTTAGACACTCATACACACCCAAGTGTTTGACGCCATCAGAGCACTTTGTCAAACATTTGTCTGCTTTCTGTGTTTACATTGTTATATCACTAAGCAAACCTTCTCTGTGTTGTTCTAAGGCAGTGATGTTATAAAGCTGGTCACATCATTCTGTTGAAGTTTGTTACATTTACTACAACTACACGTTTTTTATGCCAGAGATACGCACTTTTTCCCTTTTTTATTTTAAGAATTTCCCCGCTGCTTGACATCATGATATATGGGGCTGTCTGCAATAACCTGTCTGTCTGTACCAGAGAAATTGGTTAATTATCACAAAACGCGTCTAAAGATTTGTTATGTGTTTCGTTTTTCCACCCAGAGCCGGCTCTCAGATCACAAATCCAGAGGTGGTGCTGAAGCGTCTGAAGGCCCTCGCCACAAATGGTCCTCTCTTCGCTGTGTCCTTCCTGGCCTTCTGGGTGGCTTGGGCCAGTCCAGGCCTGCAGTTCCTGCTGTGCCTGTGTCTCTACGATGGCTTTCTCACTATGGTGGATCTCCACCACAGCGCCCTATTGGCGGACCTCGCTGTATCTGCCATCGATCGCACACGCCTCAACTTTCACTGCTCGGTGTTCAGCGCTCTGGGGTCTTTCTCCGTCTTTCTGTCCTACTCTTTCTGGGATAAAGAGGACTTTTACTCCTTCCGTATCTTCTGTGTAACTCTGGCAGCTTTTTCCGTCTTGGGGTTTTTCTTAGTGTCTCGAATGCTCCAGCGCCGTTTTATAAAGGAAATCCATCCAAAACAAGATGATGCATCAGCACTCAAAGAGTAAGAATTTAAAAGTGTGAATAATATGAGAAATTTTCATACTGTGTTTTCTCCTTTCTCACATCTTTTCGTGTGTGTCTGTTATCACAGACTAAACGTTGGCCATGCTCCACTTAACCACCCGGAAAAACCTGTCACTATTGGACAGTATCTCAAGCAGCTGTCCAGACACAGGAACTTCATGTGGTTCGTGTCAATGAACCTGATTCAGGTCAGCCTTTAAAAGTCTTAAAGCCGTGTGAGCCCATGTTTGTTTTTGACGTGCAATCTTAGTACAAACCTTTACAGTCTTAGTGAGTTTGTTCTTGTTATTAACGATAGACAATGCAAGATAAAAGTTAGACTGCCCTCCAGTGTTTGTCTTTCCACATGAAGTGCAGCCCTTCTTGTAAATGACACTTGTTGAACTTTCGTAGTTAATATTATTAGCTAAATATTTGTGGTTTTCTTGCTCGCACTAAAATCAGAAAACATTTCATTTGCTTTCTTGGTGTTTAATTAAAGAAAACTGCTACAGGTCCAAGCAACAAACTACTTTTAATTTAGAATAAAATAATCATCTTAGTTTATCTGTCACTTCTGCTTCTGTTTGCAGGTGTTTCACTGCCACTTCAACAGCAACTTCTTCCCTCTTTTCTTAGAACATCTCTTATCTGACAACATCTCTGCCTCTACGGGTTCAATTTTACTTGGTAAGATCCAGTTGAGATGCAGTAAATGATTTACACAAGTGTTTGTAATGGATGCTTTGCACAGCAAGAGATAAGAAATTATATATTTGATATAGTGATTTAAATTTTAGTGAATAGGAAGTTACCAATAGGAATTTTAAAATGTAGAAGTTATTTTAATGTTTAACACTGTTATGTCAGGAAAAACGCTTGGAAAACACACTGCAATGCATACATTTAAACCATGAGTAGTGGCATATTAAAATATATAATTAACCTTTATTTATATAGCACCTTTAAGAAAATAGTTTGCAGATTGCTTTGACAGAAAAGCAAATGCAGAAAGAGAACTAAATAAAAGTCACAGAAAATAAGTGGTTGATCTATTAAAAAAAAATTAAACAATTATATGAAAGAAGAAACTCATTTGAAAAGAATGAAGTGAGCGCTTGATCTTCATAGTGTCACGCAAAGTTAGTTAAACCTCTGGGAAATTCATCTGTCTAGGTAGAAAGCATGAACCACTGTGAATCTATTTCACCTGCTTGGATTCAAACTGAAGTGAGAATATGTGTCCTGGAGAGTCAAAAACAAGGCAACAACCCCACAAAGGGAATGATTTTGCACCTTGTGGCCACAGAGGAGTGCTGTTTCCTTATATGCTGACTGATTTTTCTCCAGTTTTGCTTTTCCTGGTGTCTTTGTCACCATGTGATGGTATCTGCAGCGCACGTAGCTTGCACACACAGTCTGGCTCCTCTAGGATGGCACATGCACATCAGGTTTGCTGTGTCAAGTTCAAGATTCAAGAGCTTTATTGTCCGAAATGCTGTTTCACCCCAAGCCTCCCTATGGTGCATTTATAAGTATATAAAAGATATATCTCCAAGATATATAAAACTAGAATTTAAAAATAAATAACATGCTAGATTTTTGTAAAATTAAGGGATAAAAGGGTACTAATTACTAACTAACAATACTATAATTATAACTATACAATACTAACTGTACAATAGTTTACAGGAGGTAGCAGGAGAGGGTTGTTATATGTGGAGAACTGGGCAGGCATCAACCCAGTAGACAAGCCAACATCTGCTCTTTTGATCAAGAAAGAACACGAGGAGCAGCGTAGAATGACCTTCAGTGATTTCACTTCACTCATTTGCGTGTTTCTGATCAGACTCTCAGGAACTGACTCCATGAGGGTGGCATGAGGGCCAGATGGTATGAAAGAGGCTTGGCGAACGTTATGCTGCTTGCAGCATCAACCAGCATGACCAGTTTGGCAGTGGGTTAGTGATGGTCTGGAGAGCCATATCTTTGGTGGACCTGTTGCCAATTTAATTTGCAACCAAGCAGTTGAAATTGTTTCACAGCAGTTTATGCTTCTAACTAGACAAGCTGATGTCCCAGAAATTTAACAGACTTTGCATTTCTTTTTTTTTTTTTTTGAGCAATATATTTTTGTTAGTGAGGCCCTTAAAAACATTGAAGCTAGTCTATAAGAAGTGATTCAAAGGTGGTTACTAATTCTGCAAGCCTGATCTCTTCAGGCAAGTGATTCCAAATCTGAGACATGACAATAAAAGCTACCACACATTTTTTTTTTACTTATGTGTAGCACCAGAACCTTTGAATGAATTGCAAGATTTTTACTTATTTGTATTGTTTGGGGTTTTTTGGCTTTCCACTCACTTTCTCTCAAATTATTTTTCTGCTGTTTTCTAGTTTTAATTTTTAACGCAGCTCTGCTTCTGCTCCACACAGGAATCTCTTATATTGCTCCACACCTGAACAACTTGTATTTCCTGACACTGTGCCAGCGTTACGGGGTTTACCAGGTTATCCGCTGGCTATTTATGCTCAAACTGGGACTTAGTGTGGCTATGCTGCTAGCAGGGGCTGACCACATTTATCTGCTGTGTGTCTTCATTGCTAGGTATGGCCGTGCACACACATCTGCACACGCTTCATGGATGTGTGGCAGTTTGGCTGGTTCTTTTTGTGCTTGTTTTTAACGGTTTATCATTTTCAAAGCTGCATACACAAACCCAGAATTCCTTTGTGCATGCCATTTGCAGAGACCCTTTTTTTAGGGGGGTTATAAATGCTGTCTCTAGAAATTAGCCACAATTCTGAAATTGGTCTACTCTTAACTGTAATTGTAATATTTGTGTTATCTGTATAGTCCCATATACACATATAACATTTTAATGCCACAAGCGATTGATTTTCATGCAGTTTTTAGACTATTACTGGTCTTGCTGTTCTTATAGCTATCAACAGCATTTGAGTGCTTTCATAGCTCATTGATAATTTTAGTCACAGCTGTGGTAAAGTGGTTAAACTTGTGGGTGAAGCTCACTAAAACTTTCCAGCTAAAAGCGATGAAGTTGTTACTGTATTTCATACACTGTTCTTCATACTCGGACACACCTTAGCGTGCTCTGACTGCTCTGAATAAAGGCTTTTTGCATGATAGCCTGTATTACAGCTGATGTTTCCACGCTGTAACATTACGTCTCCATTTTCTAGTAACCGCGTGTTCACCGAGGGGACATGCAAACTCCTGAAACTGGTGATTTCTGATCTGGTGGATGAGGACTTTGTGGTAAACCGACGTCAGCAAGCCGCCTCTGCTCTCGTCTTCGGCATGGTTGCCTTGATGACCAAACCCGGGCAGACATTCGCCCCACTCATTGGCACATGGCTGCTCTGTGTTTACACAGGTACAAACAGAAACTCTCAGCCTTGGACCTCATGAGGACACAGGTTTTTCCAAGCTTGCTCCAAGGCGCTGCTTTCATGTGCGAGTCCCAAGTTGACACAAATTACTACAGGCTCACACACTCTGTTGATGCGTGTGTTGATAAAGTTTTGAGCGTTCAATTAGAGTTAAAATACATGTGTGTGACTTGCACAACAAGTTGAACTAGACAGATGACATAAATTGCTGTTTTGTGGTTAGTTTATCTTGCTAATGACAAACAAAACAAAAAAGCCACTCATCAAATCTTTGGCATTAACCTGATTAAACGGGCTTTTGTAATCTCATTTTTTTAAATTTAGTTTTCTAGAACCTGAACAGGATAGGAAAAAAAATCAATCTGTTTTACACTTGTTTTGCAGACTTGTTTAACTTTGCATTAATTGTTTGCCCATTTGTGGACGGTCAGCACAAGTGACCTGGCAGCCAACAAAGAATTAATGTAATTTTAAGAAGAAAAAAAACATTGTAAACATGTATATTTACCTTCTTACTAAGACTTGGATGAGGTTGTTTAACTGGACAGAGTCAGTGTCGTTGTTTCTGCTGATAGGAAAAACGATCTAAGCCAAAGGGGGTGTATCCAGAGCCAAGCCACGTACTTATCAGTCACTTGCCTCAAAGTTAGGAAAATTGCGACACCAGCTTTGCATGAATTCACCCATCATAGCTGGATGTTACTGACTTTTCTATGGTCTCTGCTCACTTCCTCTTTGGATGTGTTTTTTTAAGGCTAACAAACCAGTTTCCCCAAATATAACCTGTTAGACAAGCATCGCTTTATGCCAGTCGTGCTCTTAAAATATATCCTAGTGACACGTTTTTGTTTTGCCTCACTAGCTTTACTTTAGTTTCTTTCATCAATAGGATCCTCATTAACTCTTACTGTTTTCATATTTAAGTATGGCTTCAGGAAAAAAGAGTCAAATTTAATGTGATTAATTTTGTCGTCACCAGGTTATGATATCTTTGAGAGAGATTCTGTCAAGGACTCAGTTTCTGGGTCTCACGTCGCCTCCAGCTCAGGGAATCCGCCTCTACGCCTGGGCTGCTTCTACATGTTGGTGTTTGTGCCTATCACCTGTGCCCTGCTCCAGCTGGTGGCCTGGTCTCGCTTCACGCTTCATGGCCGCAAGCTGCAAGGGATCAAAGCCCTGCGGCAGGGGGCCCAGCAAGGCCACCTTATCGATGTCAAGGCCATATGAACTGTTGGGCGAAGTTGCACATGGACACTTTTACGTCATTAGCTTTTACAGTCCTTTTTGATAATGTCTTGGAAGAAGATGAGCTGCTCCGCCCTTTTTCTGCAGCTTGGCCTTCTGTGCAATAAACTCTTACAGATCATGTGGCTTTGTGTACAGTGGAAAATGCACAGCGGGCTCACTAATCCATGTGGAAATGAACATGTTGAAATCTGCCTTATTCTTTTTATATTAAAATAATAAAGTATATTTATATTTGAACCGATGACCAAAACATCAGTAAAACCAATCAATCTTTTGGACCAAGGGGAGAAGAGATCGGGTGCCCTCTTTACGTGTAATTCTGGTGTTGAGCGCAGTCTGAACGTCTTTGCTGATCTTTAAATTGTCAGCACCGTCAGCCTGTTTGGAAAAGCAAAAGGAGGGTAGGTTTACAACAGAGCTCCGGTTCTGATTTCTAACTTTTCTTAACAAGTTGATGAAGAATTTCCAATGTAAGTACGTTGTGTTGAAAGTGCTGTTGATACTGCATGAAAACACAAGTTGATCATTTTGCTGTACATGTTTCACACAGAATGCCACTTTGATGTTGAGAACTGTATTTTGTAATACGTCAGTATTGATGATGCATTTGCACAACACTGCCGTTTGTCCGTTGTACTTCTAACATTTTACTTTTAGTCCTGTGGTGATGGAAACTGAAACAAGGAAATTATGCCAGTAGCCACTCACTCAATTCTCTTTTCAATTGTTTTTTCCCAGACGATTACCGTACAAAGAATGTGAGACAGTGCCACAAATAAACCTCTGTGTTGAGAGTTAATCAAACTCTTTATTTTAAATTGGGAGTTATTCTATGTTCTTTACTACACAACAAACTTGAAATAAAAACCTTAACAGTGTGATGAACCATTCGCAGTTTAAATATACACCAAAAAGTTTGCATATGAAAATCATTTATAGCCCTGTCAGGCAAAGGTCACTGCTGTTAATTTGAAGATAACTGGGTCAAGTATTTCAGCTTTAAAGACATCCCTTAATGCCTTTCTTGATTTCTGAGCTACTGAAAATTTTGCATTTGATTTCATTTGTTGTACTTTGTTAAGAAGACATCGCCCTGAATTTGGGATAATTTTTTGTATATTCTGGTGAACTAATCTACTAAGCTAACTAAGCTATTTCTCTTTCAGGAAAAAAATCTATTCATCTATATCTATACATTCACTTACTACACATTCACTTACTTTCCATCCATGACAAACTTGGATTTTTTTCCATATTGAAGTACTGGGCCCCTGATTTTCTTGTGCTTGTGTGATACTTGAAAAGTAACCAGGCAGATAACCTCAAAGCTTAATCAGGATTTATGATCGTAAAATGAAACGTACATAGGACATAAGCTGAAATTAGTGCAGTTGAAACATTGATTTTCTTTAGGGTTCAAAATAGAAATAGAAAAGTATATTCATATTTTTGTGATAGGAAGGGCCGGAAACACCCCAGAGTCTCCATTGGAGGATCAAACAAAAAAGATTTTGATCGCTAAAAGTGTTTCTTACGCTATTTGTTTTGTTTTTTAACCGTTTAACTTAAAAGGAGGGGGGCGGTTAGCTGTGCGAAGACGGAAGTAGTAGGAAGGACTTCTCTCGTTCCAAAGCCCATCCTAACGGTGTGTTGCGCCTGCGTAAACCTTTTTCCTATTTTTGCACTTATTTTCCTTATTTCTAATCACTTAATAATTAATTTAGTCACAGTATCGTTTCTGCTCAGTTACAGACCTAGCAAAGCTTCCCGAGTGCAGTATTTTAGCCTGAAATAGAATATTACCCATCATGCATCGGGCCTAGTACGCCAACTCCTTTTAAACCTACGTTTTCGCTCTAAAGCATTTCATATAGATTTTTTAAATATATATAAAGTGTTTTGTATATTTATATAAAGTAGATCCCAAAGTACAGTATTCAAACTATGCACGTTTGAGTTCAGCTCAACGACACCGTGAGTGTAATGGGTATGTCGGAAAATCACACCTCCCCGGGTCGCTACATTCAGTAGTACACTCATGTTTCTCTTCAGATCGTATAAATCTTTCGCCTTTTACTAAAGATTTCCGTGGAGAGGAACAATATGAGTTATAACTAATTTTTTGATGCCCTGCTTATCGCGGGGCTTCTGTACTTGTGAAAAAATACTATACGTTGCTCAGCATAATAACGTTCCGCGGCGAACGAATGAACTTAATGCGGAACTATCTATATCAGTAAGTAGTATTAACCGACAATGTTGTAGTTCCGGATCACCTGAATTTTACTTGCTTTGAACTTACAAAATGATTCTTATCTTTCAGGAGAACATTTGAATTTTCTCTCTAGTACAAATGCTAACAAAAATGTGAATAAAAATATAAATTATGGCTCATAATTGCAAGCCTCACCTCTTCAAGATGTCTTTACCAGAAGCAAACTAAGCAATCAACATATAAAGTAGATTAAAACTGATGGATTTAACGCAATTGATAATGCTGATTTTAAACAAAAACAACAAATTACTTTAAAATGCATTCAACAACAGACTCAAAACCTTTAAAAAAAATTCACAGGCGTCTATTTAACAACTGTGTTACCTTACTAAAGGTTTGTTTGTATTGCTTCACACACTGAAGACCTAGATAGTTTTTGATGTCTTAATTTTTATTGTTACCACATTGAGCACGTGTGTAAGGAAATATGCAACATAAAACCGACACCGACGGTATTTTTGACGTAAATGAAGATATGCGTGTTTTCAGTGTCTAATGTAATCCACAGAAATGTGATTGCCTTGGATCTACTTCAGATCTCGTGTCTTTTTTCTTTCCTCGGTTCTGTATAAACACGGTTTAAATCGGTTTATAAGAGAGATTCACAGTTTAGTCCAGTCCAAATCTGCGAATAAGACAAAATAAATAAGTAAGGAAATCATCATTTGGACTTAGATGTGTATTTTATTTAACCTAAAATTCCAGCAGAGGGCGTACTTGGTTTTAAAGATATGCACATGAAGCTACAACTACACACATAACTACCCTGCTTTTCTAAAGTATTGTCTTATGGTCCTATTGGTAACATACTCTATTAAGTTTAAAAAATTTCATTTTTGCATTCCCACCACATACATAAAACATTAAACTATATTTGTTATTTTCAATAAGAAAAGAGTTAAACTGTCCTTAAAACTATGTTTACCACGTTTATTTATTCACAGTGTTTGCAAAATATTATGGCAGACTGAGTCAGCACTTGGTCGGACAATCCCATTGGCTTTTTGTGAGCAATTTTCCGTGAAAACAAAGCACATTTAAAGAAAACACTGGGAAGTGTGGTTAAAGTCAGACTTCCCATTTCTCGTGGCTTTTGTGCTGTAATGCCTCACCATTTGCTTCTTTCGGTGCATTCGCAGAGGCACACAGAACAGGAAATAAGAGGGAGGCAAACGAGCAGAAATGATACATGTAAGCAGCAGGTTGAGCTCCGGCTGTTTAGATACTTAGGTGCCGCTTCAAGGCTGCGAGACTGAAAAACTACTGTCGGGGAATGCTGGGAGGCAGAGATGAGGCAAGTAAACCAATTTTAACTTATAAAGTGTGAAATTCAAGGGTTAGGTTTGATTTTATTGTTGAATGTTGAACTTTAAAATATGCCAGAAGACAAAATATGAGAATTTTACCCATGTTGGTTAACTTTTCCCCCCCATTATTTATAATTTTGCATTTTTATGTGCCTTGAGTGTATGTATGATTTGGCATTATGGAGTTTCTTTTAAAAAGCAGTGTATAAGGATTTTAACAATACGGCTAGCACTATTAGCAATACGACTGTCTTTTGTGGTTTTATTTTGTTTTTAGTATGACTAAATTTGTTGTTTAAAATGTGCTTCAGAAGATAATAAAAAGCAGTAAACATTCAGAGTCCTCCGTAGCAAAAACATAGCCTTTAACAGGCAAACTGAGATTGCTGAGTGACGTCTGCCTGACGCTGAGACGAGGACGGTGCAGGCTTCCTGTTTTGTGGCTAAGCAATTACTCAGTCTGCTGCTCAAGCTCAAGTTTAGGTTGAAGTTGCTCTGCAGCAAATGGAAAGCAACTTCCATTTCCTGTCTAATTCTGCGCACACACATAGAGGCTTTTATCTCTGCCAGCCTTTTGCTCATTACTCTAAACTAGAACTGCATTAGCCTTTCTGGTAAATCAGTATTAACATAATAATGTCAAACACTAACCATGAATGGATTATTGGACAGGCAGACATGGGTCCAAGTGCTTTGAGTGCTCGATGAAAGAAGAAAAAGAATATAGATGTTACAGCTATGTAGCATTATTTTTATCAGGTCTTAAAATTAGAGAAATACAACCTCAGATGAACAACAATGCACCCATATCACATTATTTATTAAAAACTAATCCAAAATGAGGAAAAATATGGAAAACTACACAGACTTAATAGCTTTTGAATGCTTTTCTGTATCACTCTGTCTTTCACAGCATAGTGGTGAAAATTTGGCCCACTTTCTGTTTATACACAGCCCTCCCGTCATTGCATCTTAATCAGTTTGAGGTCTGCTCTTTGACCATTGGAATGTTTTCGCGTTTTCAGCCATTCTGTTGAGTAAATTTGCTGCTGTGCTTGGGAGCGTTGATCTGTTGCATGACCCAGTTTCAGACAAGTTTTATCTATCGGACAGATGGCCTCACATCTGACTCTAGAATACTTTGGTGTACAGAGGAGTTCTTGGGTGACTCAGTGACTGTGAGGTGCCCAAGCCCAAATCCTCATCCATCTACCTCCGTGCTTGACAGTTATGAGATGTTTGTGCCCATTTATTTGGTTTTCCCAAACATGATGCTATGCACAATAGCTAAACATCTCCGCTTTGGTCTCATCTGTCCAAAGGACATTTTACCTAAAGTCATATTGTTTGGTCAGATGTAACTTTTCAAATCTAAGCCACGTTGCTGTGTTCTTTTTTAGAGACAAGAGGCTTTCTTCAGGCAACCCTTCCAAACAAGGCATACTTGTTCAGTCTTTTTCTAATTGTACTGTCATGAACTTTAATATTTAAGCCCTTAAAGCCAGACATTTGAATTCATTCCCAGAAAATACGAATTGGAGAGTTTATTGAACTATCTGACAAATTTGATTAAAAAATTTCTTGAAATTTAATTTCCATATATGGCTTTCAATTTGATTGTTCTTTTCTTTTCTTTTCCTTTTTTAAATGTCTTAGAATTTGATTGAGGAAGTATTTTAAGAGAATAAAGGACTCTAATGATGTAGAAGTCTCAAAAGCGCACAAAGATTGGTTTGTATCATATATGTTACACTAGGTGTTAAGGGGATCTTTTCCACTTGTGAGTAATCTCTCTTACTGTAGAATGGTGTTGTTTGGAAATGGCCGTATAACCCTTCACAGACTTGGCAGGAAGTCCTAAGAGTGTGTCTAATTTTTTTACGCACTGCAGCTGCATTTTGTGACTGTTTGTCAGATAAACAATGACACAGCGTAGGTGTCATGTGTTGTTGTGCATCTGATGCTGTATTTCCCCAAGAAATACAGCATCACCATGATTCTAAGCAGTAGTTCATTTCCTTTTTACCAATTGTGTTGGGTTGTCAGAGCAAAAAAGCCCACAACCAACACACACTAAGCACTTAAGTGTTATGAAGACATGCAGAAAATAGTCTCCTCTCTCTCTCTATGTATATACACATATCTATCTATCTGTGTCTCTCTCTATATATATATGTATGTGTATATATATATATATATATATATGTATGTGTATATATATGTATGTGTATATATA